AGCACTGGGGATTTCTGTAAGGTTTCTGAGGTCTAAGAAAATCCTTCCCACAATCTTCCTTTTTAAAGCTTGTGACCTTTAGAGAATTTCCTTGGGTTCTTTGGCACTGCTTACTTACCTAGGCCCTACGTATGATGCTAGGCAAGCGTTCTACCTACATGCCCAAATGCCATCCCAGCCGCTTCTCTATCCCACTGCTTTTCCCTTGTTAGCAGTTTTTTAGGTGAGCACATGAAGTCATGAGTTTCATCATGGCATCTTCATACAGTGTCACTACACTTTCTTTCTCTCCCACGTCCCCTCCTCCCCTTTCTTCTTCAGTTAGTCTCCCTTCTTCCTCCCTGTTACACATATCCCATGACTTTTTACTTTTTACTCTGAGGTAAGTTCTAAACGGCCCAGGATGGCCTGAACTGACTGTTGTCAAGGTGAGCCTTGGACTCTGCATTTCCTGACTCACCCACTGGAATAGTTAGGATCCAGGCTTTTGCCACTTGTTTTGTGTATGTCAGGCTGGCTTTGAACTCAGCATTAGCCGAGAACACACTGAACTCTCGAGCCTGCACAACTGCCCGCTAGCTAGCTTCTAATGGACTTAGCAGAAGCAGACAGCGCTGACAGTCTCTGGCTACCTCTGACTGCCCCTTCTTCTCTTTCCTACCCTCCAAGCCAGAGAACCTGCTGTACTACAGCCTGGATGAAGACTCCAAAATCATGATCTCTGACTTCGGCCTCTCCAAGATGGAGGACCCAGGCAGTGTGCTCTCCACAGCCTGTGGGACTCCAGGATACGTGGGTGCGCAGGGCCCTAGGTTGGGGCTGGGGGTGAGGAAAAAGCTAGGAACTACAAGACATTTGTCACCACCATGTCCCCTTCCCTTCACAGCCCCTGAGGTCCTAGCCCAGAAGCCCTACAGCAAGGCCGTGGACTGCTGGTCCATAGGGGTCATTGCCTATATCCTGTAAGTGGGGCACAGTTAAGGTGGCCTGTGTCTAGAGTTGCCTTCCCTGCTTTGTCCCCTCCTTCTGTAGTTATAACTACCAGCTAAATACTAACAGGGGTATGGAGAGATGGCTCAGTGGTTAAGAGTGCTTTCTGTTTTTCCAGAGGACCCAGGTTCAATTCCCAGTACCCACATGGTGGCTTACAACCACGTGTAACTAGTTCCAGGGAATCTGGTGCCTTCTTTTGTCTCTGTGGGTTCATATACATGGTGCATAGCCTTGCATGCAGGCAAAATATCATATACAAACACACAAACACACAAAACGACAAGTGTTTCCAACACTGTGTAAACACCAAGGATTTAGCACCAAACCAAGTGCCTGCCCTTAAGAGCTGACACATAGAACCAAATGGTGGTGCACGCCTTTAATCTGAGCACTCTGGAGGCAGAGGCACGTGAATTTCTGTGATTTTGAGACCAGACTGGTCTACAAGAGCTAGTTCCAGGACAGGCTCTAAAGCTACAGCGAAACCCTGTCTCAAAAAACAAACAAACAAAAAAGAGAGAGTTGACACATAGAATCAATGAGTAAACAAATCTATAAAATACTGTCACCTGCTAAATCAATGAAGAAAAACCAAGCACAGTAGGAGATGGAGATAGATGTCATTTTGGATAGTCAAGGGCTCTTTGTGGAGGTGACATATGAACAGCTTTTGAATGATGTAAAGGACCCAGACAATTTAGGTGTGGGTAGAATGTCAAATACAAAGGTGCTTAGGACAGTAGGCTCAAGGGACAGAGGCCAGACTGCCAGATGGAAGTGGGCAAGGCAAGGAAGAGAATTTCCTGTGGGTTCTGACTGGTTCTTGGTGCTGTCCCAAAGCCCCAACCCCCCAAGTCAATGAATTAAAGCTGACATGGGTTTTTCTCTGCCCAGGCTCTGTGGCTACCCGCCCTTCTACGATGAAAATGATGCCAAACTCTTTGAACAGATACTGAAGGCCGAGTATGAGTTTGACTCTCCTTACTGGGACGACATCTCTGACTCTGGTATTGGGTCTTTTGCCTTCTTCATCTGCTCTCGGGGTCTCCCCGCTGTCTGTCTTCTGTCGTATCTCCTAATCCCAGACTAGAAGCTAGTATCATGTTTTACCTTAGGTTCCCTCTATTTGTCCCCCAATGCTGCCTTCCCTGAGGCTTAAACAGCACACTTCCACCTCCCATTTCATGTCCCAGTTAGGGACCAGCTTGTGATGGCCACACATCACAACTTTCCATTAGTAGTGTGAGTGGATTCTTCTGTAAATATGTTCTCAAGAAAGGAGGGAGCGGGAAGGCTGGGGTGTGTGAGGTGATGCATAAGCAGAGTAGGCCTCGTTGCCAGGTGAGATCAGAGGGACTGAGCACTGTCTTGGGGGTGTCCATGGGCATGGTCATGCTGCAGCTTTACTTTTGTCTTGGGGCTTCAGCCAAAGATTTCATACGGCACTTGATGGAGAAAGACCCGGAGAAGAGGTTCACTTGTGAGCAAGCCTTGCAACACCCATGGTGAGAGCTCCCACTCCAAACGATTTAGGGTGGGACCTGGGGGCCCCAGGCCTGCCTCCAGCCTCACAGGCAAATCCACATATTCTCCCATTCTAGGATTGCAGGAGATACAGCTCTGGATAAGAATATCCACCAGTCAGTGAGCGAGCAGATCAAGAAGAACTTTGCCAAGAGCAAGTGGAAGGTTAGCATATACTCCTAATCCTTGATCCTCCCTAGATTCCACTTACACAGCATCCAGTACCAAATGCAAGCAGGACATGCCCAGGGAGGCTTTCCAGAGAATCTCCTTTGTTCTGGACTTTAGAGGCCACTTGACCTCTAAAGTTCATTTCTAGAGGGGCAGTCCTACTCTCCAGGATTCATAGCCCATGGGACCCAAGAAGGGTCAGAGAGGTGGTCACAGATCTGTTGGTTGACTAGTAATTAACCAGGTGTGGAGAATATGCCTGAGGCAGAGGGACCAGGGGTGCAAAGAGGCCTGGTTAAGAGTGTGGCCGAATGTCAAGCCTGCTGAACTAGAGGGGCTGGAGGAACTAGGGGAACTAAATATCAAGAGCCCAGGTTGCAGAAGCTGGTAGGGGTCACTGAGATCCTTGCATGCTGCAGTGGGGCCCCCACCTGTTATAGAAGATGGTCCCAGAAAGACCGACAGCAGGAACCTGTCCTGAAGAAGGATCTTCTTTCGGGATGCAGAGAAGGCAAGGAGGGAAGTCTGGGAGGCCCAACAGTATCAGAGACGTAGCAGATAGTGGGGCTTGACTCAGAAGCAGCAAGAAGAACACAGGGTGGTTGATAGCAGGAGGTAGGCTCACAAGGAAAGATGGGAGGCATGCTGAGGGAGTGAGATGTTAAGGGCTGCCCCAACCTTCTGGCTGGGGACAATGTGGACCACGATACTGACCCTAGGAGCAGAAACATGTCTTGAGGAGGTTTAATTTTAGACATGGTCAACTTGAGAGACATGTAGGACATCTAGGTGGATAAAGGGAATATAAAATGAGAGAAACAAGTATGTAAATTACTCAACCTTTCTGCATGTCAGTTTTCTCCTTTGGAATTAATGCCATTCCAGCACTTGGGGAGGGTGAGGTCAGTCTGCTTGGGGTATGTGAAACCTTGCCTCAAAAGGGGGCGGGGGGTGAGTATATAGCTCGGCTGGCAGAGTGATTGCCTAGCATGCACAAAACCCTGAGTGGGAGCATTAGCATCACATTAAAAGTGGGCACGGTGGTGGCACATTCCTATAGTCCCAGGACTCAGGCGATAGAGATAGTACTGGAAGACAGCCTGGGCTACATGACAAACCATTAAAAAAAAAATAAAAGAAATCAATGCTATTAATAGTGCTTGCCAGAGTCAGGTGCAGTGGCACACACCTTTAATCTCAGTACTTGGGACTGGGGGGTAGTGGTGCACACCTTTAGTTCCAGTAGTTGGAAGGCAGAGACAGGTGGAACTCTGTGAGTTTGAGGCTAGCCTGGTCTACAGAAGGAGTTCTGAGAAAGGCTCCAAAGCTACAGAGAAACCCTATCTCGAAAAACCATAAACCAAACCAAACCAAACCAAAACCAAACAAAATACAAAAAGCCAAAACCAAATAAAAAGTGCTACCTCACAGAACTCTGTGAGGATTAAATGAATAACCATGCAGTGTGCTCAGAGCTGTGCTTGACACATTGTTACGTTGTTTATCACAGGACTATGAATTCCTTTGTACACACCATACATGTGCTTGTATGTAAGACTGAATATAATTTAGTAAGGCCTTATAGGGTTTCTTTGGAGGACTTAGGGAGTCACTGAGTAACATGTGAGACTCCTGCCGACCCACCGCCCTCAAGGCACCCTTTCAGCAGTCCTCCCCCCTCTTCTTCCACAGCAAGCTTTCAATGCCACGGCTGTGGTTCGGCACATGAGGAAGCTGCAGCTGGGCACCAGCCAGGAGGGGCAGGGACAGACAGCTAGCCACGGGGAGCTGCTGACACCAATGGCTGGGGGTAAGCACCAGGGTCCTGTGGGTGGGGACAGGTGGTCCACGAAGAAACGTAAGCCTGGAGCTGGAGCCGCTCTACAGCCACCTCTGCTCTCTTCTCCACACAGGGCCAGCAGCTGGCTGTTGCTGCCGAGACTGCTGTGTGGAGCCAGGCTCGGAGCTGCCCTCTGCTCCACCCCCAAGCTCTAGGGCCATGGACTGAACATCAAGGAAGTCAGGGTTTCTTTCATGGGAGGGGTTGGGGGCAGCCTGCTTCCTCCTCAGCCCAGAACTGGGGAGTTTCTTACCCCATCCCTCCTCACCCCTTCCCTCTCACTCCTCACTGCATTTTCCATACAAATGTTTCTATTTTATTGTTCCTTCTTGTAATAAAGGGAAGATAAAACAAGACAGTCCTGTTGCCTCAAACAGTTCCCTCGCCCCTGCTGTAAAAACTGCTTGATTTGGGGGTGCTGGCCTCTGAGGTAGGAGTGGTCACTCTTCTTGGCGTGAAACTGGGTGGGGAAAGAGAAGTAGAGAACAAAGGGAAAGATACTAACGACATCTTTTGTCCCCTGGGTCCTACCTAGCCTTCCGGTCTCTTAGAGCCCTTCCTGCGCTTTGCTGGTGGCTTCCGAGCCTGGTTTGGTTGGCGTAGATCAGCAGTGAACAGCACCTGTGGGAAGGGGCACAAAGAGTCTATGGAAAGGAGGGGCTGCTGAGGTCAGGCTGGGGTCAATGGAAAATAAACTGGGGAGGGGTGGGAGGGGGAGTCATGGGAATAGGTGGCTGAAGAGTCCAGGGGTCAAGCATGGCTGAGGGAGAAGTCCTGTAGGGTCTGAGCTAGGTATACTTACTGCTTGGGCCCAGCCAGCATAAGGTCCCCAGAGATTCCGGAAAAAGTTTCCTAAGGATCAATTAAGGAGGCTACATTAATTGATCCACATGCCCTCCATCCTCAGATGGGGAGTATGGGAGAGATGATTAAGAATGCAGAAATTCTCCAACCTCAGCCCAATGCCCCAGCATCACACGTTCTCCTCACCCAGTTCTTTGTTGGCCAGAGGGCTCGGGCCCTTAGCCTGGGATGTGTTAGGTTGCCAGCCGTAGTCACGCTGGGCGATCTGCCATACATGGACATCCACAGGCACAGCCTGGGGTTTGTCAAGGGCCATTAAGCAGATGCAGTCAGCCACCTTAGACAAAGAGAGAACTGTTGTGTGGAGGAATGGCAGGATCTGGCCAGCATCCAAAGCCATCTGCTTCCTCTTTCCACCAAGGTAGCACTGTTCTGCCTGTTCAGTCAATATGCAGCAATTACCCATTACTACTAAAAATAAGCTTCACGGAGATGTGCTCCGGAGTGAGCACCTGTGTAGGCCATACGCTCACATAACCTGGGGAGAAGGTATGAGCATACTCTTTACAGAGATAAGAAACCTGAGCCTTAGCCAGGTGGTGGTGCCACACACCTGTAATCCCAACACTTGAGAGGCAGAGGCAGAAAGCTCTCTGTGAGTTCGAGGACAGTTGGATCTACAAAGCCAGGACAGTGAGGCTGTTACACAGGAATGTCCTGAGTTCAGTTCCCAGCAATCACATGGAAGCTCACAGCCATCTGTAGTGAGATCTGGTGCCCTCTTCTGGTGTGCAGGCATACAACACTGTATACATGAGAGAGAGAGAGAGAGGGAGAGAGACCAAAGAAAGAAAACTGGCTGGCCTTGAACTCAAGAGATTTACCAGCCTCTGTCTCCCAAGTGCTGGGATTAAAGGTATGTACCACCACTGCCCTGTTCCATTAAAAATTCTGTAAGTCAGAGAGATGGCTCAGAGGTTAAGAGCACTGCCTGCTGTTCCTGAGGTCCTGAGTTCAATTCCCAGCAACCACATGGTGGCTCACAACCATCTGTAACAAGATCTGGTGCCCTCTTCTGTCCTGCAGGCATACATGCAGACAGAATACTGTATACATACATAGTGAATAAATAAACCTTAAAAAAAAAGATTCTTTAAGTCAGTGGGGCTGGAGAGATAGCTCAGCAGTTAAGAACACTGGCTGCTTTTTCAGAAGACCTGGGCTCTATTCTTAACACCCACATGGTAGCTTACACCTGTCTGTAACTCCAGATCTGACACCCTCTTCTGGCCTCCTGGAACCATACATGCAAGTGGTAGACAAACATACATACAGGCAAAATACACAAATACAGAAAAAAAAAAAATACTTTCTTTTATTTCAAAATTAAGTGAAAATCCATTTAAAAATTTAAAAATTGTACGTTCTGATCTATTTGTGGGGCAGGGGTCTGAGGGAGGTCTAAGACCAACTACGGGAATCAGTTTTCTCCTTCTACCATGTGGGTCTCGGGGACTGAACTCAGGTTGTCAGGCTTGGGGGCCAGCACCAAAAATTCATTTTATAAGCCACCTGACATGGGTGCTAGGAATCAAACCTGGGTCCTTTGGAAGAGCAGCAAGTGTTCCTAACCTTTGGGCCACTTATCTAGTTCTGAAAATTAATTTTAAGTCACAGAGGAGTATAAAAAGATAAAGGTAAGTTATAAATTCCAATTGTCTGCTAGATAAATCTACTGATAGCAACACAACATTCTATAAACACATGGAATTTCAAGAAAAGAAAAAATGAAAAATAGAGACATTGTTCCATTTGTCTTCCCAAAGTAACCAGCACCAACTTCCCTGTTCTTCCCTGTGGAAATCTCTGCACACACACAGAGTGCACATAAATGCACGGACACAAAGGGCCTTTCTAAAAGTGTATCCAAAGGGCAGCCTCTTTTATACTCCATTCTTTCATCTCTGTTAAAACATTTGTTACTCTTGTCCTTCCTGCACTTCCTCCAGGAGCCAGGCTTCCCTGGATACTCAGGTCTGCCTTGTTTCCACCTCTCCACTCTCAGTGTGGGTGAATACGGCATGTCCTGCCTCTCTAGGGCCTCACCTTGGCGCCCACCCCGGGCAGGGTGCAAAGGGCCCTGTGGGCCTCTTCATAAGGGGCCACTTGAAGTTGCTGCAGCCAAGCCAGCCCACCTTTCTCCTTGAGGATAGCTTTGGCGCTGGCACATACGTAGCGGGCCCGGTACCCTAGGCCCAACTTTCTGAGGTGAGCCTCTGCCTCTGAACCTGTGGGGGCAGAGAGGAAAGGAGGGGTCGGGTATCCTCGCTTTGTTCTTGTTATCAGGTTAGTATATAATATCTCCCCACTCCAATGCTTTTCTAGGCACTTCTTTCCTATTTACTGTCCTCTATGAGTCAGTGGACAGTTGGATATGAAAAGAAACAGTTAAGACCTGAGTTCTGTCCCCATAAATGTTCCCTTAGTACCTCCTCTGTGTTGGGGTCTGAAACAGGGGTTGAGGACTCCTGCTCTGGAGGAAGCCCAGTTTTATTCAAGAAGCACTCACATCCATGGCCTAGAAACCTGATGCAGAAGTTTGGTAGATGGCTCAGCAGGTAAATCCAATTGTTGCATAAGCCTAGTGACTTGAGCCCAATTCCCAGAGCCCACATAAAAAGCCAGATGGAGGTTCACATCTGTAATCTCAGCACTGCTCAGGTGAGAGGGGAGGCAGAGATAGGAGAATCCCCTGGAAGCTCACAGGCCAGCCAGCTGGGACATGCAGCGCAGTAATGAAACAAGAGACTTGCCCCAAAAGAAAGAACCGACATCTGAAAAGTTGTGTGTACTTGCACATGCACATACTCACAAAATAAACTCATGAATAAATTATAGCAACAGCAAGGGCTGCGTGTTACACACTGACTGGCAAAGCGCATTATGCTTACTTAAGGATCCTAAGGACAGCACCATTATGTTGCATATTTTACAGAGAAAACAATAAGGGCGTAGAGGGGCTAAGTAGGCTAGAGAGCTGGCTCAGCAGTTAAGAGCACTTGTTGCCCTTGAAGAAAACCAGGCTACAGTTCTTAGCTTCCACATGCTACCTCACAACCATCAGTAACTCCAGTTCTAGGGGATCTGACATCTTTTACTGACATCTGTGGGCACCAGGCATGTGTATACTGTGCACATATATACATGCAGGCAAAACACTCGTACATAGAACATAAACTTTTTTTTTTTTTTGGGGTTTTTCGAGACAGGGTTTCTCTGTGGCTTTGGAGCCTGTCCTGGAACTAGCTCTGTAGACCAGGCTGGTCTCGAACTCACAGAGATCCACCTGCCTCTGCCTCCCGAGTGCTGGGATTAAAGGCATGCGCCACCATCGCCTGGCTGAACATAAATATTTTTAAAATAGAAAAAACAAAAACCTAAGCAATTGAGGAAAATACCTGACATTGATCTCTGACTTCCACAGACACATGCATTCATGCACATGCACACATACATGCACATATGTGCAAACATTACCCACTTCCTCACCTACTGACCCACCCCCAACACAAAGAAAGGGCATGGTGGAGATAGGATCTCTCAGGTGGAGGCAGTAGTGCCTGTGCTCTTAAACTCATTCCTTTCAACGCCTCACCATTGATTCATCCACCCCCAAACCCTTCCAAATAGAAACTGACATTCCCAATCCACAAATAAATTAAGCCAAACTCAGAGATCCACCTGCCTCTGCCTTCTGAGTGCTGGGATTAGAGGTGTGCACCACCACCTCCCAGCAAAGACCAAGAGCAGAGACTTAAGACCCTTCTTTGCACCAAAAGACACCCCGTTTGAGAATGTACCAAGGCAGGCAGGCTTCTTGCTGCTTAGTCCCTAAGCACTTCATCTAATTTAGTCCTCATATCTGCTAACCAATACACTTGCCTTATAGGACAAGTGAGCTGGGTTCACTTTAGTGACAACAGCTTGGATGTTCCACTTATTTTCTGCTAGATGCAGGACGTATCTCCCTTTATTCCATCCTCACGATTCTGACAGACAGAATATGTAACATTATTTTCCATTTCACAGATTTGGGTCTGAAGCACACACACGCTAAACATTTTTAAGGGTCAGAGTTAGGATTCAGATCTAGGCAGTATGTCTCAGATCACATGCCTGTAACCCTAAGCTACTGAACACTGTGTACAGATGTTTCCCTAATGAGGTACTGGATACACTGGCAAACAGCCAACTAGTGAAGCGCTGGTATTTCAGGATGGAGACAGTGTTGGGATGGTGGGAAGTTCTGAGACAGGAGCAGCTCGCTTGGGGAGAACTGAACAGGTCTCCCTATCCAAGTGCTCAGGAGGACCCACCTACTCACCAGCCAGGGCCTGAAGGCTGGGGAAGCCATGATAAGTGACATCATCAAGCTGAACGAGTCGAGGTCCAAAGGCCTGGCATAGCCGTTCCACCATGCCAGTGATTCGAGCAATGTTGTTGTTGGAGGAACAGATGAAGGAGAAAAGGCATTCCGTGGGGTCCTGTCTCAGCAATCTCACACCTAGAAATCAGAAAGGCAGGGGTAAGAGACACATCTGTTTAAGGACTGGCTTCCTGGAATCCCTCCACATCAGACACTACAGTTAGAGCCTCTAGGGAGACGAAGGAGAATATGGGGGAGAGAAATCAATGCTAGACCACTCGTGCTCGTGGCATCTTGTGAGGTCTGAGAGACTACCCCATTCCACTGAGGAAGAAAGGACACCATGCCATCACCATAGGAGCAGGGCTCTGTGTCCATTTTCCTCCTCCCTATAGCAAATGCGCTCTTGTATACAATGACAGAATGAATGATGTCACCTGCTTCAGGACACATAGCCAGGATTAGACTTTCACTGTGGTGGTCATCATCATCATGACCATAATAACAACAGCAATGTACTAAACACCAGTCTAATCACTTTAATAAGTAAATTTTATTTATTTGTTATCAACATGAACATATGAGCGTGGGCATACTGAGAGCCTTGGCTTCCGCGTGGAGGTCAGAAGACAACTTCAGGTAATGGGTTCTCCTTCCACTGTGAGCTCTAGGCTTAAACACAAGGTCATCAGGCTTGCCTGGTAAGCGCCTTTATCTGCTGAACCATCTCACTGGCCCTGTATCTCCATTTTACAGAGGGCGAGCTAAGTTAGAGAGCTGTGAGTTAACCAATGTACAAAAGCCACCATCCCTGCCTCTTGTACTGACCTTGGAATTTCTGAGCCACTGTTTGGAAGTGGGAGTCTACAGAAGCCCAGTGGCTATACAGCTGAGCCAGGCTGACATCCAGCTGAAAGTACTTGTGTAAGGCTTCCAGCTCCTCTAGGGTGGGCCTGCCGGCCTGGCTCTTGTCTTCTCGGTACACAGTGCAATAGAGCTGCTCCTCGGTCTGAGTCAGTGTCCATACTTGATCCGCCAGCACGCCGCTCCAGTGCCCAGGGCTTTGCTCCCTCCACCTGAGACCCAGCAGACAATTCTAGCACTCAGTTACCCATCTTGGGCTCTTTAAGGTCCCTACTGTTTTACAAATGTTCCACCCAAAAACCGATTTATTAGTTATAAAGTAAAAATAGTATGTTTTCGCCGGGCGTTGGTGGCGCACGCCTTTAATCCCAGCACTCGGGAGGTAGAGGCAGGCGGATCTCTGTGAGTTCGGGTCCAGCCTGGTCTACAAGAGCTAGTTTCAGGGCAGGCTCCAAAAGCTACAGAGAAACCCTGTCTCGAAAAATCAAAAAAAAAAAAAAAAAAAAAGAGTATGTTTTCATAATAATAATTAAAAAAAAAGGTACTGGGGACTGAACCTAGAGCCCTGTGCATAAAAATCAAGCACTCATCACTGAGCTGCATCCCTCAGCTTCCCCACTGACTTTTACTGCTCCTCACAGCCCTGCACGCTCACATCTGCTTCACTCAGGAGGTAACAAGCTCTCCACCAGTGCTGATTCTCCAAAGTGCGCTCTCCCTCACCCATCACTCCCAACATTCTTACTCTCATCATTCTTTGCATTCCCGGTGGGCGGCATGGAGGGGTCAGCGTCCCAGGGAAGGGTCCGCCCAAGCGCAGACACTCACCGGAAGGACTGTCCAGAAGCTAAAACCAGGTCCAGTCGCAGCTCGGAGCGTGGACACGGGACAGAGGCCCAGAGGCCCGGGCTGGAGATTAGGGTGCGATGCCTCATGCTGCCAAGCAGACAAGAGCCAAATAGCATTCGGATAGCAGCCTCCCGCACATCACGGCCCGGCTACTCAGAACCCGACCTTCCCGAACCCTAAGGCCTCGCTCGCAAGTGACCACGGCCCCTCAGGGGGTAGGACCTTGTGTCCTAGACTCTGGATCTGGTGGAAGGCCGGTCCCCGTTTGAGTCTCCCTCTCCAAGTAGGCCGGCCTCCTGCAGGAAACCAAAGACCTACCCTGCCCACTCTGCAGGCCTGTGGAGCAAGCCCCGCCTCTTCCTCCTGACGTGGCCCCGCCCCCAAAGCCTCCCGACTCCTGCCTCCTCCTCCTCCGGCGCGTCCGTAAGAGTTTTGGAAAGCCGCGTCAGTGAGGCTCTTCCGGGTCCCAGTTTACTGTCACCGGAAGTAGATCCAACCCCCGGGTTATTTGATTCTAGAGGTAGCCAATCCGAGGAGAAAGTGAGAGGCGCCAATGAGAACTCGGGTGTGGCCCAGTGGGCGGGCCTGTCTGAGGCGCCTTAGCGGTTGGTGTGCCAGCCTCGCTGTGGGCGATTAGTCGCCGGCGGCCGGACTCTGCCATCTCAGGGCTTTCGGTGTGATCTCAGGGCCTGCGACTTCTCGGGCTGGCCCGCTCTGGAGTCACATCTTTGCAGGGCGTGGTGGTACACTCACGTCGTCCCAGCACTAGGTAGGCAGAGGCAGGCGGGAGGATGGCCGCATGTTCGAAGCTGAAGTAGGCTGGGCTACCTGGCGAGACCCTGTCTCAAGAAACAAACCACAAGAACCTACCTCATCCTCCCCTGCTCAAGCCTTTCGCCAAAGAGCCTCTTCTCTTCTGAGGCAGTGTGAGTGAATCCCAGAGCATCCTCTTGTTAGCGCTGTCCCCCTCCATCTCCTGGCATGCGGCTCCAAATGTGCCATCCCTGCCTAACGGACCAATTCAACTACCAGCACGTCACCTTGACCCAAAAATGACTATATCACTTATAATTTTCTCGAAGATATTAAAAAATGCTGGAGGCTAGGAGGCATGAACTTGAGACATTAGCCTGACACATGAGGACATTTTCCACTTAACAGAAATTTTTGGTATTTGTACCTAAATTATTGGACTACAGATTCGAGGGCAAGGTCTGCTGCTGATTTATCTTTGTGTCCTATGTACACCAAAGCACAGCACACCCGCTAGATCACATTCAGCATCAACATTAAATAAATGGGAATTTTTGTCTCAGTTCATTCCTAAGTAGCTGCAAGAACTGGGGCAGCCACATCTTACTTTGGTAACCCCACTATAGGCATGTCACCTTCCAGGTGCCTGGCACTCAGAAGGCATTCCTTCCAACAAGTGTTCGAATGTGTATGAACAGTCTTGTACAGCCCTACTGTTTCCAATTGCGGTCTCAACTGTAGTGTTTGAAGCACTTAAGCTATGGTCCTAATAAAGGACTTGAAGGCATCCACAAAGGGAATCAGCAATGGACTCTGCTGAAGAGCCAGCTTTCCAGAGAAATGATCTTGAATTTAAATCCTAGCTCTGCAACTTCTTAGTTGTAAGAACTTTAGCAAGTTAGTTCATTTTTCTAAACCTCAGCATCTGAGATAACCAACCTGCTATTAACCCACCCCATAATTACTGTGAAGATTACACAACAGTGTACCTACAGTTACTTAATATGGGCCTGTCACTGTGGAGGTAACTGGCCTATTATTAATTAGCCCACCCCATAGTTACTGCAGGGATTAGAAACAATTTATGTATTTGTAGGTACTTAAGTCAGTGCCTGACACTCAGGGCATAAGAAATATACTTTCAGTTTTGTTGTAGAAACTTTTAAAAAACAGGTTCTTGTTATGTTATTTTGCCCGGGCTTGAACTCATGATAATCCTCCTGCCTCAGCACCTCAAATCCAGGGATTACAGGACTGTGCCACCGTACCTAGCTTGCTGATGTGCTGTCTTATGATTAGCACACACAGTAGTCAGCTCAAGAACATCCCATCCATGAGGCACAGATCTCTTCCTCTGAATCCTTCTGCCATGGTAGAAGGCAAGAAAAAAGAATTCTAAGTAGACTTTATTTTCTAAGAATCAATATATTTTCTTCCTTTGAAATAAATACAAACCAGTTTGAAAGGTAGGGAGGATTCTATGGGGAAAAAGAAAGGACATAGAGACAAGCTCCATTATTTTTTTTCTTTTTCTCTTTTTTAGTACCAAATGACTCTGGCGCGACCCGGAAACGCAGTTACAAATGAGAATAATTTAAATTCTCCGATAATTACAGTATTTACAGCAGCAGGGGAGGGGTCACCTAGTGCCCCTCTTCTAGGCTAGACAGACATCAGTCCCACTGCTAGGCTGGGATAATGCTGGCTTACCTTACCACCTGCAAGGGCCTCAGGCCTCTAGGCAGTTATGAATTCCCCTGGCAAAGCAGGTAGGGGTGGTGGTATGGCCTGTTTTATGCAGTATTCTAACCGTCTCCCACCACCCTGACCTACAATACCATGAGGTCTTGAGCTCTTTTTGACCTGTGGGATCTCTCCTCTCCTTGCACTGAGTGGCCATGGGCCCTTGGAGTGTTTTGTACAGTCCAGCTGCACTCAGGGCAGGAGGGACCTCCCCTACCCAACTTCCCCTGAGACTGGCCCCAAGACCAGGAATGAATCAGTGCAGAGGGCGGCATCACTCCAGGACAGTGAGCAAAGGGAAGGAGAGAGGTCACAGAGCACTGAAGCTGGGCTCTGACAGTATCAGTCACTATCGCTGGTCTCGCTGCTCTGCTCACCCTGCACCTTGCTACGGTGCTGCAGAGCCCTGTGGTAGGCGATCTGTACTGACTTGCGGATGTTGGACTTGCGGCCCTCCAGCATCTTCTCTTTGTCTAGATCCTGGTTCACACCCAGAGGAACGAGTTTAGTCCTGGGCAGCCATTGCCTGTCAGACAAGGTGAAGATGAGATAAGGCATGGATTTCAGGGGGAACAAGTACTAGCTATTCCACACTCTATGCATTTAGAAATGCCTGATTCTCAGCATCTCTGCTCTCAAAGGACTGTGTAGTGTATTGAAAAGAATAGCCCAGTCAACAGTTATAGTAGGGGGAACAACTGACATGGGAGAAACCTGAAGTAATAAAACTGATGCTACAAAGGATACTAAAAGACTTGCTTAGGAAATATTAAGTTACACAAAGTAGAAGTTAGCTAAGGGAGTTAGTTTTGCCTCCAATATGACTGACTGGAAGGTGAGTAGTGGACTAACCAGACATGTTAGAAACTGTAGGAAAGCTGTGCGGTGGTGGCGCACACCTTTAATCCCAGCACTCAGGAGGAAGAGGCAGGCGGACCTCTGTGAGTTCAAGTCCAGGCTGGTCTAAAAAGCAAGTTCCAGGACAGGATCCCTGGCTACCGAGAAACCCTGTCTCAGAGAGAAACTCTTAGACCATTATGGCAGTCCAGAGTTGCTGAGAAAATGTTTCTGGTAATGTTGGTTCCTCAAGATTAATATCCATTTCCAGAACAAAATGAGGCAACAATGATGTAAAACCAGCCATTAGGCCCATTCCCATATCAAAGAACATTCCTCTAAGGGGCATCGTAAGGTGGCAGTGCAAGTGACAGCCACCATTAATGTCTGGTCTGCCATTAAGTGAACCTGTTATCAGGAAAAGCATAATTCTGCCAAGTAGGCAAGATGACTCTGGGTTGGAACTATCCAGAAAAGAACAACATTGGTGTACTTAAATAATTATGGTAATTTTTTGTTGTATAAATCTCCCATTTGCCCAAGTGACCAGACTTGTAGTCTCCTACCTCTCTTTAAATTGTTGAAAGTGTAACCTGGGTGGGGTCATGACTTGGAAGAGATTTAAGGATAACAGTGTATGTGGAATGTTATAAATCTAAAGCCTATTTAAGCTGGTAAAATGTTCTGTTTGAAGCTGGTTCCCTTTTGTGCATGAGCCAGAACCAGTTGCATGCTACTGTTAAAAGAGATTTTCCTTTATTCATTTCTTAAGTGTGAGGAATGATTTCTCACTGGGAAGACATATTAATTCTACAGTGTATAATTCTACAGGGCACTTTATGGGTGCAAAAAGTCTCAAGAGGTATATCCTGTCCCAGCTGTTTCAGGGAGACTATCTGCAGGCAATTAACAAAAGTTTGACAAGAGAGATTTAAAATCGAAAATTTTGTTTTTGTCTTTTGAGACATGTTTTCTCTCTGTAGCCCTGCTATTCTGGAACTCACTCTGTAGACTAGGCTGGCCTCGAACTCAGAGATCTGCCTGCCTCTGCCTTCTGAGTATAAAGCCAAAATGTTTATGCGTGCTTTTTCCCCATCTTGTTACTATAAAGGAAGAAGTGGAACAATAAGTCTAGAAGTCATCTGAGCATGAGCTGGGAGCCACCCTAACTTTGCCAGTCACTGATGGTCTTTTAGTTTCTAGTTACAGCTTGTTTGCCAGCTACTGCCCACTCAGCCCATCAGGCTCAGGACAAACACACCCTTTTGCTTAGAGCTATTCTAAGCGTGCCCCCTGCCCAATACTTTGTAATAATCTGTTGCTGAGTCTCTTGACAATCTGCCCCCACATCACAGATGGCTGTATTTATATCTGTGGCTTTAAGTCACACCAAATGCACCCGTTTCCTTACCAGGTTCGTTTGTTGTCAAAGAAGAGAACGAGGTAGAGATGCTCTCGGGCTTCCTGTGTCATCTGTTCCCCAAGTTTTAGAACCTCCAATGGTGGTACAGGGATGGGAACCCCATGATGGAACATACCTTCTCGGGGCATCTTTGGATCAATGATCTGAGAGTATAATACAAGCCCAGTTTGGTTTAGGTCACTTCCTCCCCAAAGCTAGCACTACCTAAGAATTTGAAGAATATGTTACTGGGGCTGTAGTGTTGACCTTGCCGTATTATTTCAGAGCCTGGGGGCAAGAGAAAAAATAGGGAGAGATGGAAAACTGACTGGGATCTCTCTGGGGTACTCAGGCTACATCTGTCTAACAGTCAACCTGCTAAGGAGCCCTGTGCTCTATAAGTTGGCAGGGAAAGGGCAAGGCTACACTTTATGATTCCAAGTCCTAGGGCTGGAAAGCAGGGGTAAGGACAAGAGAAACCATAGGCCTACCAGAGCTGGATATGATGGATAACCTCGGCACTTGGCCCACACAAGGTCCAGAGCATCCAATGGGGAGTCCTCGTCCTCTGACAGCCAGCCAGCTCCACGACCCAGACTCTTTCTTACCACTTCACAGGAATGGGAGAGAGGAGGTGGATCAGCAGCTGGGGGGCTGGCAAGGCCTTGAAACTGGGTCCCCAGCACCCCTGACTTTGGGTGAGGGTACTTACTGCTGTGGCCCACGCCGCGGCCAGTGCCCACGGAGTAGGCCTCATTCTCAGTGCCTGAGGTATCTTCACTGCTGTCTTCTGGGAATGTGCCCCGAGAGAAGGAGGGCTTGCCCCGGCCTTGTTTTGAGGGTGTTGTGCTATGGAAAGACAATTAGAATGCAACTCAGAGGGGAAAATGAAAAATTACATGGCTCAGGGGTCCTCTCCTTGTTAAGCACTCAAATCTGGACTTTTGAAAAGCAGAGACTGTATAAAGTTTGTAATTCAACACACTCTTCAGGGTTAGGCTAGTAATCAGACTAATGTCACCAAGTGGAAAACATGCCTGTCTATAAGCAATGCTGACAAGAGCGGCCAGATCTTCTATTTTAATTTACTGTTCTGAAGTGCTTGAGATCAATCCTAGGGCTTCACACAAGCTAGACAAGTGTTCCAGCAAGGAGCTACATCCCCAGTCCTTCAGACAGGGTCTTGCTACATATGTAGCCATGGCTGGCCCAGAACTTATTCCATAACCTAGGCTGACCTTTAGCTTGCAGTAATCCTACCTCAACCTCCCAAGTGCTGGGGTTATAGGTATGAGCAACCACACCCAGCTCTTTCTGATTTTTCTTTCCTGCGTTTTTGAGATAGGGTTTCTTTGAATAGCCCTGGCTGTCCTAGAGCTCACTCTGTAGACCAGGCTAGCCTTAAACTCAGAGAGATTCCCCTGTCTCTGCCTCCTGAGTGCTGGGATTAAAGGTGTGTGCCACCACCACCCAAAAGGATCCTTTGATTTTTTTTTAAAGATTTATTTATTTATTGTGTATACAGTATTCTGCCTACATTCATGCTTGCAGGCTAGAAGAAGGCACCAGATCTCATTACAGAGGGTTGTGAGCCACCATGTGGTTGCTGGGAATTGAACTCAGGACCTTTAGATGAGCAGGCAGTACTCTTAACCACCGACCCATCTTTCCGGCACCCGATCCTCTGATTTTTAAAGAGAACACAGAGACAGAATTTTATGTGGATTCCATTTTTTGCTTTTAAGTAAATTTAATCCTATCCCCCACCCCAGTTTTTATTGATTTTATCTGCATAGGCATTTCGTCTACATGTATGTCTGTATCATGTGTATGCAATGCTAATGAAAGCCAAAAGATGGTATCCGATCCCCCTGGAACTGGAGTTCCAGTACACTGTATAGATGCTGGGAATTAGACAAGGGTCTTCTAGAAGAGCAGCCAGTACTCTTAACTGCTAAGCCATCTCTCCAGCCCTGTATTCAGTTATTAGAAACATCTTAGTGACCAAAATAAAGTATGTCTGAAGGCCAAATCCTAGCTATAAGGCACAGTTTGCTCTAAAACATCAGCTTAACCTAAGACAGTGTGTTCTGTTCTGTTAGGGTGACTGATCTATCTGATTTATTTTATAGGGACACTTGGATTTGAACTCCTTCCTTTGGACTGAAATGGCTGCCACCTAGCTCCCATGGGAGAACCTGGAAAGGCATCCTGCAGGTTGCCTCCCATCTGCAGGGCTAGTACCTGGTCCTGTCTGAGGCGGCA